AGTTAATAGTTAACATATTTCCATCTCTTTTAGTGATTCCTATTGACCTTTCAATATTTACTCCACTTCTCTTCAGTATTAAATTGTTCCTTTTCATATAATTAATACTTGTAGAAAGAAAATAGCAGTAAAGAACAGTGAAACAAAAAACATATACTTTCACAATAATTATAAAAACTTCCTATTATTGTCATCATAGCCACTGAAGTTAGTTTAGGCCATTTTTAATGTTAGTATGTCTGGCCTACTGAATGAGTAGCTAGACTTTATTTATGCATTTGTAATATCTGGCATTTGAATGGGATCCCTCCATTAATGTCACTTTATTTCAAAACAGCATAAAAACAGACAACAAACAAGCAGCTGATGTGTTTCAACCCCTGAACTGGGCTAATAATGCTCAGTTCATGGGGTATAATGTGTCAGTTACTTGTTTGTTGTCTGTTTTGATGCCTTTTTGAAATAAAGAGACATTAATGGACGGATCCCATTCCAGTGCCAGTTTTTACAAATATATAGACTTAAAGTGACACTAAACTCAAGAGGTAAATCATAAAAATACATTCAAATACCTTAACTATGAACAAAAATGTGTCTTATTTGTGTATCACTCGGCTGTAGATCCTCAAATCATCTCTGAATTGGTGCCGATACTGTCCTTCCTTCTGGAGGGGGGCTACTTTTGTTCCCCATGGTCCCTGTGTGTGTTGTAAAGTAGCCACCGCTCCAAGCTCACTCCTATGATGGACTACAATCTCATGTTTAGTTTACTAATTTGTACTGATATTGTAGACCATTACGAGAGTGAGCTTGGAGCGGAGGCTACTTTACAACACACGTAGGGACCATGGGGAACAAAAGTAGCCCCCCTCCAGAAGGAAGGACAGTGTCAGCACCAATTCAGAGATGATTTGAGGATCTACAGCCGAGTCATACACAAATAATAAGTTACGGAAGTTTAATGCATTTTTAAGTTTTAACTTCTGAGCTTCGTGTCATTTTGAGGCTCAGGCAGAATCCTCACTCGGCACTGAGGTGCCAGTAGTGGGAATTGATGTGAGAGGGTTGATCAGTTCTATATTTTCTTATTACTAGACGCATCCTTCTTAGCGAATGTACTAAACTTTAGAAGATTTAATCTTTTGCCCTCATGGCCAAGTTTGGTACAATCTCGATGTTCGAAACCCAAGCTGCATTTTAAGATAATGCCAAAATGGAACTGACTGTATGACAATCCCTTTCAGAGGCAGATGCAATTATTGTCGATGCCCCCTCCTATTCTGTATCTGAGTGAATGTCAGGACAGTGCTTTTTGTTCAACACATATTGCCTTATTCAGTATACAATGCAAGGAGTAAAGCACAGTAACTGAAAAACAACCAATCAGAATATCGTTCATTGAAACTGGATCCATATTGGTTGTTGTGGGTTCTGCATTTTGCAGTCGGTGCTTAGCTTCTTGCACTATTTTATGAACAAACTTGCAAGTGCAAATATATCTTCCCAATTCCCCAATATTATAGAATGTGTATCTGAGCTCAGCAAACATTGGGATCTACTCTCACAATATGTATGTGGTGCACCAATGATGCAGTTCATGTCGCAGTTTAACAGGAGAATGACAGTATTGAAAATCACTCCACTCCAGATCAATCCACGGCCAGAACATTCTGGAGCTTCAGTCATGGTTCAGTAGAACGTAGAACTGCCGAAACTGCCACATTTCTAATATTGTTAGCAAAATAAACTTTTTGAGAGCTGATAACTATAAAGATGAATGCCATAATGGTCGTGAGGCAGTGTGACCCTTGTCAGGGTATGCACTCACCAGAT